AGAATTCTGAGGAAGGGTCACCGGACCCGAAACGTTAACTCTGTTTTCTCCTCCACAGATGCTGCCAGACCTGCTAAGCTTTTCCAGCAACTTTGTTTTTGTTCCTGATTTACAGCATCCGCAGTTCTTTTGGTTTTTATTTAATAATTGTTTCAACAAGTGTATGGAAATTATTGCACCAGATCTGACCAATATAGGCTGTTATTTTGGTCCCTTCTGCCAAACTCTGATTCTAGATAGCTAGGCTTCATCAGTATATCCTGCATCCCAGCTTCTAGTAAGCATAATACATTAAGGATGTGCTTCCCTGTCTTGCGTACAATTTGCGTTCTAAATTAGCTTCATCTGTGCAGATTCATCCGGTCTTTAACAAAAAAACATGAAAAAAATGTGTGCAGAAAGGCAGGGATAGGGCAGATGCACTATCATTGAATTTTCCAGATCCATCAATATCTGGCCCTCCTAACAGCTGTCTTACCTTGTAAATGTCTTTGAACTCTTCTTTAACAGCAAAAAAAAGCCGGATGTCATTGTCTGCAAGCTTTTGGGCCAATTGAGAAATGGATGGATGATCCTATAAATGAAAAACATTTTGGAATTTGCATAATAACAAAGGAAAAAGAAATGCAAGATGTACGACAACATTTATATCTTTGAAATGTTGCAACATTATCATTTCAGGTCATTTCCCAACCTGCACAACATTTTTATTTCTACAATTAACTTTTGACAATAGTACCCGATTCTTGATTTCAATCCAACAATATAGGGCAGACACACCTCTAATACATCACTGGAAAGATGGCGATTTTATTTAAGTGTATTCTGGAGATATGATATGTGGCACTTAAACATGTGATATTTGACCTTGTGACATTTATTACAGAACAGTTGTCTACTGGGTAAAGGAATTACGATCACCACATTCCTGTACTGCAGTGAGACCTGATTATGTATTAGTGTGCAAGAAAAATTTCTTCAGTTATGCCTTTATCCTCTTGACTGAGAGGGAGGATTATTGAACAAATGCTAGTTTCCTTCTTCAAACCAGTTCCACAAGCATGCAGGCAATCCTACTGTAAAAACAACTGTGATGGACCAGACACTGTTTCCGAATGGCTAAAATTCTTCTGTCCTGCTAGGTCAACTCTCAAATGGTCAATGGTCCATGGTGTGTGCGCAGCTATCTGCATCTTCTAAGTGCGTGGGTTCTTTATGGGCTTACATGGTCCAGGGTCTGCCAGGATAGTCACCTTCCAGTAGAACAAGAAGGGTCTTGTAGCGTAAACAGAGCGATGTTTATGACATCTCTGCAACTATTCACAAATTACAACAATAGGCTCTACAGGCCAAAGACTGTTAGGAAGACATAGGTCTAACTCCCTCGCAATCCTAGTTTTTTTTCCCAAAGTCCTCATTACATCCTCACAGTGAGAGGTGCTCACTGCATTCAAGCAAGTATTGGTTCTTCTGAACCTTTTCAGATGTACAACAGTTAAGATGAGGTCAAAGAAATCACTTAAAATATACTTGGAAGCTCTCATTGAGGCATGGAACCATCGTCCTTAATAACCCGGAGAAGCAAGCTATATTCAATCAGAATGTCAATAACTTGGCCATTAGGAAAGGTTGTGCTTTAGTCACAGCATCTTATGAATGACTCTGAAGGGGAAAAAAAAGAAATGGAAGCAAGTCCTGCAATATGCATTGTCCTGCCTTTTGGGGCATCCATGTACTCAAAGATCTGCAGGTGGAGGATCAGCCTGTTTAATACGTGAAAACCCAAGGCAAAAACACAGGACACTGAGAAAAAGTCACCATTGAATCAAAGAAGAGACATTAATGATTTTCTATACCCAGTAATTTAATTAACTTAACTGGACTCACCACATAAACACAGTGGCTACAAGAGCTGGTCAGAGGCTAGGGATACTGCAACAAGTAACTCACCTCCTGACTCCCCAATCTACAAGGTGCAAGTCAGGAGTGTGATGGAATGTTCCTCACGTACCTGGATGTGTGCAGCTCTAACAACTCTCAAGAAGCTTGACACCATCCAGCACAAAGCAGTCCACTTGATTGGCACCACATTCACAAGCATCCAATCCCTCCACTATTGGTACTCAGAAGCAGCAGTATGTGCTATCTACAAGATGCACTGCAGAAATTCACCAAAGATCCTTATTCAGAATCTTCCAAACCCGTGACCACTTCCATCTAGAAGGACAAGGGCAGCAGATACATGGGAACACTACTAACTGCAATTCCCCCTCCAAGTCTCTCACCATCCTGACTTGGAAATATATCATCATTCTTGCACTCTTACTGTGTTAAAATACTGGAATCCACCCTCTAAAGGCATTGTGGGTTTACCTATAGCATATAGACTATAGCAATTCAAGAAGGCAGCTCACCACTACCTTCTCAAGGGCAACTAATGCTGGTCAGCCAGCAGTGTCCACACATCCCATGAACGAATAAAAGAAGGTCTTGAATATACAGAGGTGGCCTGAAGTAAAAACTACAATACTAGAAATGTATTGGAGATTAAACCCAAGTTAGTTAGAATCCTGATATATATCACTTTTTCATTCATTGTTGCTGGTCCAATATCCATAAATCTTTTTCTAACAATATTATGGAAGCACCACAAGGATTTGCAGTGGTTCACGAAAGTGTACCAGATTTCCTTTCTCAGGGCATTAACTGGTACCAATGCATGTGAGGTTACCAACATTACCACATCAAAAACACCAACAATAACACAAGTTATTAAATCACTGATCAATTCATTTGCTGTGCTGGAGTCCAATACAACTAGCAGGACTTGAATAACATCAATCCCAACTATTTTCAAACCAAGCTTTTAGAAGACAATGGAAAATATTTTGAATGGTGTAAACCCCAAAAGAAATCTGTATATATAGATTCTCAAGAAGCACGTAGAAATACTTTTCCTCTTCAAATAGATGTAACATCTATCGAATATTTTTTATGTTGAATTTATAAGTTCAAAAACAAGCTTACTTGTTGATGATTCAATGTATATACACCTTGACTATCAATATGGCATTTACCATCATTGGGCAACAAACTGCTGACTTCACCATCTCCAGCAAAGTGAAGTCCTGTATTACTGTAGTAGACAAGCATTTTTGTGACAGATCTCCAACCAATTATATCCTGTAAGAGAAAGCAGATTTAAATAAATTAAAGGTAAATCTAGACTCATTTCAAAGAATAGTTTTACTTGACAAAATAAGGAAAAGAGAAAGGATATGGAAATAAACTTGAACAGTTGATTTTAGAGATTAAGACTTTAGAGAAAAGTCTTCTGCGTACTACTTGCCTTACAATGTGATAGGAAGATGGCAATGTATCACAAATATCTGTTTAAGGTGGTTTAGTGCACTAAACTGAGATCCGATATAATTAAAAGAACGTTGTTATGATCCCAATTAATGCTATTACTGGACAAATCAGATCCCAGATAGACATCTGGTTTGATAGTTTATTTTATTTTAACGAGGTGGTCTTCCACAACCATGACATGCTGCAGATTTAGTTCTATAAACCAAACTCTACACATAAAACAATTCTAAAACTTTATAAACACCCAATAAAACACAATCCCATTAACCCCAAAAAACTCTCCTTTACAGTAGTCAGACCAGAGAGAATTCCTTTCTATCTCATATCTTTAACTGTGGCTTCATTATCCTGTCTTAAGAAATGGATGAACTCTTACAAATACTTGTCTTCATACAAATGAGCTTAGACTTTTTCAGCTTCAAAGAACTCCTTCAGCGTTTTGACCAAATACTTTCTGTCTGGAACTTTTAAACTAGATTCCTTTGAGGTGACTCTTTCTTAATAGTCCTAAACAACCTCACTTTCTCAGGGGTAATTTTTTTATGCATCCAGCTTCACCTTAAGACTTCTGCAAAACTACCAAACTGAAACCCAAAAAGCTTTTTCCTCAAACTATGAATGTTTCCCCTAAGTACCCCTAAATTCTAAAACCTTCAGGCTGAAAGCCTAAGCACTACACAATATTTGTGCAGCTAACCTTTATCAGTTTTACTGTTGTTTATTTCTAAGCATAATTCCTGTAACATTCCTGCTCAAGTAAACTGCCAAAGATTTGACAGCCTCAGGATTGAGGCCAAGTAAGGTCAAAATCCAACAAGAGTAATTCCCACACGAGGCACAGCTGGTGCACACTACAGATGTTGGATCAGGAGGTCACATTAAGATCTGGATTCAACCATCACTGTTTCAAAACTTCAGTTGAAGATAAGGAGTGTGAGAAAACACACACTCATCACCTTCCTCAGCTTCTTGGGAACATTCCTAAAGGCAGCTGCCACCCAACACCTGCAACACAGCCTCAAGCACATTAGTTCTTTCAAATCAACATACATTAAGTGACAGCTCGTTTCAAATGTCAGAACAAATCCTTATGCAGCTTCAATAAAATGATTGCCAACTTACTCTCCTGTTGAATATCAAAACGAATGAGACAATAGCTTATAAAATATCATTTCCCAGAATGACATCCCCAATAATCTGATTCAGTGCTATTAGTGCAAAAGCTTTTCTAACAATATAGAAAATCTGAATGTTTATTTTTGACTCATTTCATCTGGTGTTAACAACATCAAAATGAGTCCTGTTAAGACCAGAGATGTGACCAGCCATATTTTAAATGGATGCTACACTTAGTAGTCCAACCTGATTCAGACAATAGACTCATTTTATCATATGATCTATGATCTACATTGAAGCCCAGTGGCTATTTTTTGCATTTGTTTCATCATTCATAGTCAAGGATGACCACAACATCATACAGAATTCATTGAGTTAAGTTTCAGATGTGACGTGTTCAAAAATAGCTAACCAGTCCAATTTGACAACAGAGTGATATGTTGTACTTTGGACACACATTCTTTGTGCAGAAGAGGTTCTGGCAGCTCTGGAATTGTGAAGCTAATGTTTCCTGCTGGCCGGTGGGAATCTGTACTGATCTTAAGAGGTAGCACCTTTGCTGATGAGACTGCAACATACAGAAGAATCTTGTGCAAGATTTTGCAAATGCAACAGGGGAGATGTTCAAACACTTCAGTGAAACCTACAAGATGCCCCTGAAGTGTTTTTTTGAGTTCTTTGCCTTCAATGAGCTCACCGTAGGGGCGCTTTTCGGCAAATACTCACCAGTTATCTGGCAACATGTGCTGATCTCTCCTGTAGAAAATCAGGGACTGAGGCACGTCAGGAGCATCTTTCAGCCATAAATTGGCTGAAGCCCTGTCTAGCGCAAGCTTCAAGCAGCTCCAACTGTCATTGTTACAAAGGCATCATATTTCATAAAATTATGGACTTGAATTTGAAGAATTGTGGATGCCTGGTTTATGCTTTTGAAAGAAATCAATGAAAATATGTTGGAGAATAATAATTTATTAAGATGTTTCTTGATATATTATTCTTGGAGAATAATAATTTATTAAGATGATTCTTGATATATTATTCCTGGAGAATAATAATTTATTAAGATGTTTCTTGATAATCACAAGCCTTATGATAACTGCTTGTTTACTGGAGATCCCTCATCTGTTAGGTTGCAGGGTTCGCTTTGGATATTGTTTGGACTAGTTGATGACCAGCCTGCTACCTAACTGAGCTCTCCTGTTTCTGGAAAACAGCCCTTGTGGCTCCATGGTACTTAACTCACTGATCTAAATGCTCTTGCATGAGAAGTCTCTGAAAGAATGACATTTGATGCAAGATAGCCAGCATTTCCAATATTCTGCAACACTGATTGCCATCTTAGATAGGAGCTGGTGGGACCAATGTCACAGGCAATGGAGCAAAAGGAGTCCTATCAAGATCAGCTTAAGATCTTTCCATGGGCAGACTTAGATAATTCTAATTCTGCCATTCCAAGAATCTCCCCTTAAGGAATTGTAGCCCTGCTAAAAGCAAAGAACTGCAGATGTTGGAAATCTGAAACAAGAACAGAAATTGCTGGAGAAACTCAGTAGGTCTGGCAGCATCTGTGGAGAGAAAGCAGAGTCAACCCAGGTTCAGTGACCCTTCTTCAGAACTTCTGAAATATTAACTCTGCTTTCTGTCCACAGATGCTGCTAGAGCTGCTGAGTTTCTCCAGCAATTTCTGTTCTTGTTCCTGTAACTTTGCTGTCTGGCAAAGGTGTCATATTTTGGGAGGCCTTGGGCCATAGGGGCTGCACTGGGATTCTGCAGTTTGCATACATGATGTTAGTAATGACATCCCCTCAAATTCATGGACACGCATTCGCCATGGGCAAGAAATGGTCAGCTAGCGAAAATCACAGATATAGGCTGGCATCTTTACCCAGGCAGCCAGCATGGTCCCCTGGTGCAGGCAGACAGCTAACACACACCCACCCCCACCCACCTTACAGACAGTTAGTGGGCACATTGCACAATGACAGGAGATCAGATGGCATACCCTCTAGGCACAGGTAGTCAGCATCAACCCCCACAGGTTATGAGATGTCAGTGGGTGTATGCTGTGTGCATGGGAGATCAAACAGTGTGATTTGTGTAGCCCACAAGTGAAATCCAGCCCCTTTGTGCAGCAAAAATCTGAACTGTACATAAACCTCTTCCACATCTAAGCTCAGGTTCAGTTACATTGTCAACAAATTTGCAATTGAATGTTGGGCATCTCTCAGTGAGCCAGACTTATTGACTCCTATCAGCATGTTAAGTTAATTAACCTTGCTAATTTGCCTTTTTCAGCTGCATAGTTAATGATATTACAGATCCAATTGTTTGGTACATTTCTGATGTTACTATCACTATGTTATTGCAGTTATTTCTCTTCTGCCTATTTACGACAATAAGGGAGTTTGCACAGTTTTTCTCAGTTTTGTCTTAAGGTTTGGGTGTCACCACCAAGGCCAGTATTTTTGCTCATCCCCAGTTGTCCTTCAGTTCAGTGCCTTGCTAGACTAGGTCAGTGTGCGGTTACAGTGCTGTGGGTTTGGAGTCACATGAAGGGCAGACAGGGGAAAGACAACAGATGTCCTTCCCTAAAGGTCTTCATGAGCCAAATGGATTTTAATGACAAGGGGGACGAATTGGTCTCATTGTCATTAAATAGTCATCAGTCATTTAATAGTCAGAGACCCAGGTAACGTTCTGGGATTCTGGTTTCAAATCTAACCATGACAGATGGTGAAGTTCTTATCTAATAAAAATCTGGAGTCAACAGTCTAATGATGACTGTAAAACTATTGCCAATTGTGATGGAAAACCCATCTGATTCAGGAAACTGTCATCCTTACCTGGTCTGGCCCATATGTGACTCTAGGCCCACAGCAATGTGGTTGACTGTTAACTGCCTTCTGTGCAATTACTGCAGGCCTAGACAGCAATGTCCACATCCCAAAAATGAATATTAAAAAAAACAACCATTGACAGTTCCAGGGTCACTGTTGCAGCTTTCAAATTGCTTCAGCCTCAAACTTTTTAGTCCAGTGGCATTCCCCATAATGAGTGATTTGACTGATAAGTCCTACTTTAGAGCATATCACTGGTTTCAGTCTGTGATTAAAGTCATAGACTGTGCTCTCATGATTTCCAAATCGCAATTTCAGCTTCTGGCTGAAACACACATCACAGAAATGCCGACATTTAGTCCGAGACCGGGCTGGTGTGGGGGGCGAGTCCGAGACTGGGCCGGTGTGGGGGGTGAGTCTCAGTCCAGGCCAGAGTGGGGGGTGAGTCCGAGACCGGGCCGGTGTCGGGGGTGAGTCTCAGTCCGGGCCGGTGTCGGGGTTGAGTCTCAGTCCGGGCCGGTGTGGGGGGGTGAGTCCGAGACCGGGCTGGTGTGGGGGGTGAGTCCTGGGGTGAGTCCTGCACCAGACGCTGGTGTGGGAGGTGTGTCCTGGAGTAAGTCCCAGACTGGAGGCTGCCATGGGGCAGGCGAGACCCTTGTGGTCTGGAAGCAATGCCTCGAGTTTTAAAGCCAAACATGGTCTGGAGGGGAGGTGCTAGCACGGACTTGGTGAAAAGGACTGTAATTTGAGTACTTTAAAAAATTGTTTTAATCTTATGCTGGACTTTGAGTAATTCAAGTACTTTTTAAAAACTTTGTATTCCCATGCTAGACTATTTATTATTCTTTCAATTCTGTAACAGATGTTTAAGTATCTGTGCCTAGGTATTCTGTACCTAAAGATGACATCATAAGCAGCGACATTACAAACTCTTCACCGCTCTCATTCAAGTGCACAAGACAATAAATTCTAATTCTAATATTCAAATATTGAAGTGTTTGTATTCACCCCACAGACTGCAGCCTGCATTATTGCGTCAACTGCATCTCCTGAAGAATTCTGACTTGCAATGATAGTCTGGCTGTTTATCAGTGTGCTGAACATAACTCCATCAGAGGTCAGTGGTAGAATATTCTTGAAGCTGAATTGACTTCTACAGGTTTCTCCAGCTGTACAAGGAGTTTTCTGCAAGATACCAAGCCCTAAAAGAAAACACACTTACTGGTAAGGAAATATTACTTGAGCTAAGATTAGCAAAGCAGAGAAGACTAATTTGAATCGGATGTAATGAAAAATGTTGTTCAGATCATTAAGCTTGATCAGATTTACAATAAATTGAGGGCTATGACATGAAATTGATTATTCAAAGTCAACTATTCACAAGCTCTGTAGTCTAGTTTCATCTTATGATTTGTATGTTGTTTATTATGGCGTTTTATACAACTTCAAGGATCTGGATCATAAAAGGAAAGTTTAAAGTTTTCATTACCAATCCTGAAAGCAGAAGTTATCTCCCGCAATTTTCTGTTCAACTCAATTCCCAACCTTTTCATGTTTTCCAAGTCATCCTGCCGAGAAAGGGAGAGGTCCACCAGATAGTAAAGATCAATGGGATAGTCTTCAGCTCTCTGAAACTGCAGTGAGAAGGTTTGAGGCTTACCTGGAAAGTCACAAAAATGATTTTTAGGAAATCATAGGTATGAAATACACAAGAGCTATCTACAAGATGCAACTCACCAAGATTTCTTTGATTGCGCCTTCCAAACCCATGACCTCTAACACCTAGAAAGACAACAGCAGCAGATGCATGGGAACACTTCACACTGCAAGTTTCCTCTAAGCCACACACCATTCTAATTTTAACTATAGCACTGTTCCTTTGATGTTGCTCAGTTAAAATCCTGAAAGACCCTTTCTAACAGCACTGTGGGAATGCGTTCATTGCAAACACTTCTGAAGTTCAACAAGACCAATACCTACCCGAAGGCAATTAGGGATGGGTAATAGATACTGGCCATGTACATATCCTTTATGGAAAAAAAGAAATTTACAAGAATTTTGGTGTTGAGAGATTCCTTAATGAGAAAGTAATCAAGCAGAAATCAGCAAGTATCCTTCATTAGTTACACTCTAGTCTCTTAATCAAATAATTATGAATTCAAGCTCCAGTCTAGAATTGAGCCAATAATTTATGCTAACTCTGAAGTGAAATACGGCAGGAATGCTGTATTTTTGGAGGTGCCAGCACTGAGTTTGTAAAAGAGATTAAAGATCTATTTGAATAACAGTGGGGCCATGGGTAGGATTGTTCTCTACAATACCATCCAAAACCTCATGGATTGCAGTTCAGGACAATGGACAATGCAAGTAGGTGGCTATCACCAGTTATCATCTTCAATACAACACCTCAGGGCAGCACGGTGGCTCAGTGATTAGCACTGCTGCCTCAGAGTGCCAGGGACCCGGGTTCGATTCGACCCTCGGGCGACTATCTGCGTGGAGTTTGCACATGCTCCCTGTGTCTGCGTGTGTTTCCTCCAGGTGCTCCGGTTTCCTCCCATAGTCCAAAGATATGTACGCTCGGTGGATTGGCCATGCTAAATTGCCCACAGTGTTCAGGGATGTTTATAGGTTAGGTGGATTAGATATGGGAAATCTGGGGTAGAATCTGGGTGGGATGCTCTTCTGAGGGGCGGTGTGGACTTGTTGGGCTGAATGGCCTGTTTCCACACTGTAGGGATTCTATGATCTATGACCCCACCTGCCATCAGGATAGACAGGTTCTGCAAACAGCAGTTATCCCACTGGGCTTATGTGCCTAGAGGAATTCCCAGAGTCATTGTGAAGAAGGTAGTGGTAAACATAAGAAATGGTACCAAAAGACCCTCTCTTCACCAGAGTGAAGGAATTGCAAGGATTCTAGTGGCTTCCTATCCCTCAGTTTACCTTCTTGTATAGGCCTTGTGCCAATTGAAGGTTACTAATGTTATGGAGCAGAACAAAACCCCTCAAAATGTGTTTAGAAAATAGCCTGGACCCCAACTTTTTCTTACTTTTAAAGGCAAGTGTAAGGCAATGTGTTCCAGATGCAATTCAACTGGTCAAACTGCCAGGCTTGAAGCAAAACACACTTTATTCTTACACTATAGCTAAAATATGGACAAAATAGAATTTTAAAAAGCTCAACTGTAACTATCAAAATATTTAACAAGAATATATACATATGTTAACTACCACAGATTAGCTGTTCCAATATAGTAACATCCCATAAACACACTCTTGGCAAAGGCAAATTCAATAAAATATATGTCTCACATGCAATGTTTCTTTTGTCTGGGAGGAAAGAAGGTCAAGAGAAAATTCTGACAGAAAGAGACAGAGAGAAAACTCAAGCATTTTGCTGTAGCTACTGAAAGCTAAACTAAAATCCTTGATCCTACCCTTTAAAAAAATCTCCAAAGCTTCACAAGCTGTTTACTTTATTGGCTGGGAACAGACCACATGTTACCTCTGTCTCAACCTCTCTTCATTAAAGAAGGACAAAATAGACTCCTTAAAGCCATAGTATCATCACACAAAGAATTAAAAAGTGTTTCCACTTTTTGCACTGTCTGGTTGTCTTCCCTCGGTATTCTCAGATAGGTAAGGGCAGCCTCCTCTTGGTGGAAGGAAACTGCTGAAAACCCATTGTATGGTGTTAAGGTTTCAAAGAACAAAGAACAATACAGCACAGGAACAGGCCCTTCAGCCCTCTAAGCCTGTGCTGACACACTTTCCCCTTCCGTACTAAAAGTGTCTTCACTTATAGGATCCATATCCCTCTATTCCCTTCCTATTCATGTATTCGTCCAGCTGCTTTTTGAATGCTGCTATTGTGTCTGCTTCCACCACCACCTCCGGCAGTGCGTTCCAGGCACTCACCACACTTTGTGTGAAAATGTGCCTCGCACATCTCTTTTGAACTTCTCCCCTCGCACCTTGAACCTGTGTCCCCTAGTAATTGGGGAATGCAAAAAACCAGCAATGCTGAAGTCATCATTGTTTTACTCTAATAACTGACTTGAATTTACCTTGCCAGTCTATATATTAGGAACTCCAATCCATTTCATGTCTTCAACAACTTTGGAATAGGGAAAAATGGGGCTGGCGTTCCAAATTTAAAATGTATTGCCATTCTTTCAGACCATCTCTTTAACTCAGAGTAAAATGGAGCAATGAAAGGGTCATGTACCCTGTTCTGATACCTGCCCAACAGGGTTGGTTTTTAAAGGTTGAAATGGGAAGAAGAGATTATTTTAGTGGAAACAAGGTGCAAAATATTCACACCTGTACACAATGGTAAGAGCAATAACTATGCAAGATTTTAATATTCGTAAATTGGTGAATCAAGTTGGCAAAAAATAGCCTGGAAGATGAATTCACAGACTGTGTCATAGATCAATCCATTCTGAAACCACAGTTTACTTTAGATCTGGTAATGTTTAACAAGCCAGGACTGATTAACGGCCTCAGAATAAAGGATCATCCCAGTGAAAATGATCATAACATTATAGAATTTGAATTTCAGTTAGATGGTAAGAAACATGAGTCTGAAACTAGTGCCTCAAACATAAATAAAGGCAAAGACATGGGTTTGAAGTTATAATTAGCATGGAATGAGCATTAATTAATTGCTAGAAAACAAAGAGTTGGAAAAATGGATTATTTTCAAATTATCAAACTGTAACTAGAGGAGTGTGTAGGAATAGTTGCTGGGTTTCAATTAACTATGATGCATATTCATGACTTGGATGAAGGGATAGACTTTATTGTATCATCAGAATATTTTAGTACAAAGTCGAAAACCAAGCTGTGAAAGTTAGCCTGGAGATTCCTCTAGCCAAAGGTAGGCCAAACATCAGCTTTGTTTTTGTCCCTATGTTGTTGTCTGTTTGATCAAAATGCAAGATCTCACCCATGATCTTTGTGGTGAACAGTAGTGGCTGGGTGATTGTATCTCTATTTGATTCTTGCAGACTGACCTGTCTGTCAGAGATTACTTAAGAAAACCTACGACCCAATTCTATGAAGGCTTCCCTCACACTTCTTGAGTAGAAGAAGCTACACTGAATTTTGGCTTCAACAAATGAAGGATGCAGATTCAGAAAAACAGCAAGATATCAAATTGATAACTGATAATGATAACAAGTTGCAATGAAGCATTGGGTGAAGCATTAGCTCCCCTTGAGTACTGGTGAAAGAGAGAGACAAGAAAGTGAGTTAACTCAGGCACTCCCTTACTGCCTGAGGAAGGGCACATTGAAGGGCAGAGGTAAAGTGAAAGATCACCTTTCAGGTTGAAGCTTTTCATCATGGTTGTGAAAGAGTGGCAGCAATGTACTATTTGATCCTCAGGCAGATCTGAACTTATAAGAAGATAGGAGAGGATAAAGATATATTTTTTAAAAACAGTGAGCATGCCAGTAGCTTTATAATTGTTAGAATGATGACATAAAGACAACTGGTAAACAATGCTGAAATTATCCTGCTTAGAATGACAGAGGTTGCCACAAAATCACTGCCAATCTTGCACTTAGGTATTGAATCCACTAGATTTTATTAGCATCTTTGAGAGCACATCATTTGCATGGAGCAGGTGGGCAAAGCACTAGCTCGGATATGTATTTGGCATCTACCTGACCCAGGTACCCCATTGGCCCATTCCCTCACAACTGTCACTACTCTATTCCTGGCAGTCTAGGGGTAGATCACCTGAGTCCTTGTGGAGCACACCTCATCCTTCTGGTCGTAGAGTCATAGTGTCCTACAGCATGGAGATAAGCCCTTCGGCCTAAACCGGTTCGTGCCGACCAAAATGTCCATCCACAGTAACCCCATTTCCCTGCACTTGGCACATATCATTCTACACATTTCCTATCCATGTATTCATCTAAATGTCTTTTAAATGTTGTTAATGTACCTACCTCAACCATTTCCACTGGCAGCTCATTCCAAATGTGTACCACCCTCTGTGTAAAAAGCTGCCCCACAGGTTCCCATGTATTCTTTCCCCTCTTACCTTAAACTGATACTCTCTAGATCTTGATTCCCTAACCCTGGGAAAAAGACTGAGTGCATTCACCCTATCCATGCCTCTCATGATCTTAAATACTTCTATAAGATCCCCCCTCAGTCTCCTATGCTCTAAAGAAAAAAGTCCTAGCTTGTCCAACCTCTCCCTCTAACTCAGTCGCTTAAGTCCTAGCAACATCCTTGTAAATTTCTTCTGCACTCTTTCTAGCTTAATAACATCCTTCCTGTAGCAATGTGACCAAAACTGAACACACTACTCCAAGCGCGGCTTCACCAATACCATAACTTCCCAACTTCTACACTCAGTACCCTGACTGATCAAGGCTAGTGTGCCAAAAGCCTTCTTCACTGCCCTGTCTACGTATGACTCCACTTTCAGAGAACCAAGGTCCCTCTCTTCCACTGCACTCGTTAAGGCCTTACCATTCACCATGAAACCTTTTCTGATGAAGGGTCTAGGCCCGAAATGTCAGCCTTTCTGCTCCTATGATGCTGCTTGGCCTGCTGTGTTCATCCAGCCCTGTACCTTGTTGTCTCGGATTCTCCAGCATCTGCAGTTCCTACTAACCATGAAACTCCTGCCTGGATTTGATTTTCTAAAATGCAACACCTCACACTTATCTATATTAAACTCCATTTGCCATTTCTCAGCCTACTTCCCCAGCTGATCAAGATTCTGCTGCAATTTCTGATAACCTGCCTCACTGCCTAAATTAGTGTCATCCGCAAACTTACTAATCATGCCTTGTACATTCTCATCTAAATCATCGATATAGATAACAAACAGCAATGGGCCCAGTACCAACCCCTGAGGCACACCACTAGTCACAGGCCTTTAGTCAGACAAGCATCCTTCCACTGTTACTTTCTGCTTCCTACCATCAAGCCAACTGTGTATCCAATTTGCCACCTCTCCCTGGATTCCATGCGATCTAACCTTCCAGAGCAGCCTACCATGTGTGCAGAAGACACTGAAAGTCTGCAGAGGGATATAGATAGTCTAAGTGAGTGGGCAAAGGTCTGGCAGATGGAGTACAATGTTGATAAGTGTGAGGTCATCCATTTTGGTAGGAATAACAGCAAAATGGACTACGTTTTAAATGGTGAAAAATTGCAGCACGTTGCTGTGCAGAGGGACTTGAGTGTCCTTGTGCATGAATCGCTAAAAGTAGGTTTGCAGGTGCAGCAGGTAATTAAAAAGGCAAATGGAATTTTGTCTGCCATTGCTAGAGGGATGGAGTTTAAAAACAGGGAGGCTATGCTGCAGCTGTATAGGGTCCTGGTGAGGCCACACCTGGAGTACTGTGTGCAGTTTTGGTCTCCTTACTTGAGAAGAGATATACTAGCACTGGAGGGGGTGCAGAGGAGATTTACTCGGTTGATTCCAGAGTTGAGAGGGTTGGATTATGAGGAGAGACTGAGTAGACTGGGATTATACTCATTGGAATTCAGAAGAATGAGGGGAGATCTTATAGAAACATATAAGATTATGAAGGGAATAGATAAGGTGGAGGCAGGGAGGTTGTTTCCGCTAGCAGGTGAAACTAGGACTAGAGGGCATCGCCTCAAAATAAAGGGAAGCAGATGTAGGACTGAGGTCAGGAGGAACTTCTTCACCCAAAGGGTTGTGAATCTGTGGAATTCCCTGCCCAGTGAAGCAGTTGAAGCTACCTCACTGAATGTTTTTAAGGCAAGGCTAGATAAATTTTTGAACAGTAAAGGAATTAAGGGTTATGGTGAGTGGGCGGGTAAGTGGAGCTGAGTCTCAAAAAGATCAGCCATGATCTTATTAAATGGCGGGGCAGGCTCGAGGGGCCAGATGGCCTACTCCTGCTCCTAGTTCTTATGTTCTTGTGTTATGTTCTTATGTGGAACCTTATCAAAGGCCTTACTGAAATCCATATAGACTTCATCTACTGTCCTGCCCTCATCAACCTTCCTGGTCACTTCAAAGAACTCTAACAAATTTGTGATGCATGATCTCCCATGCACAAAGCCATGCTGACTACTCCGAATCAAACCTTGTCTTTCTAAATGCATGTATATCTTATCCCTCAGAATCTTCCTGAGTAACATACCTACCACAGATGTTAAGCTTATATTTCCTAGGTTTTTCTTTGCAGCCCTCTATGGGCACAACATTCACTACAGAAATTCCCACCTTTTACAAGGCACTTCAGAAACACCCAGAAATTACCAAGACCATGCCTTTACCATGGGGAGTCCAGATGACCCTGTTGACAGTGACAGCAGGAGGCTGGTAGAAAGCCTGACAAATTTCAGAAAAAAGAAAGAAATATTGGAAATCCAGAATCAGAAAACAAAATGCTAGAAATTGGCAGTTATAATGAGAAAGAGGGATCAACATTTTGAGTAGAACTTACCACAAGACTACATTTAACAGCATGATTATAAAAATAATTTTGCATATATATTTAAGATTCGGAAATGTTGATGCTGAATAGACAATGATGACTACTACATTTTGCACAACAATTTGTGAATAATTGCATTTGATCGGAAGCTTTCTCTGGGCTTTCCTGTAATTTGATGTACCTGGTCGTAATTTCACAGTAAGCTTCTGCGGTCGAATCTGTATGGCATCTTTGGAATTCCCCTTCTTCCCACTGGTCAGATTTCTATCATGAATAATTCTCACAGAACCTTTAGGATTTTCAATATGTTCCATCGGACATCCTCTTCTTTTTAATGATTCAATATTATCACAACGTGTCATTGGTAATTCCCCACTCCGCAAGAATTCCTATAAAACAGGGCAGACTGAGTAAGTTCATTTGCTTCTTTAGCAGTAAAGTTATTTAGAATTTTCTATGAGGCACATTGAATTTTATTGCACAGAAGGCAGCCATTCTACCCAACAAGCATCGGTGCAGGTTTTGATTGAGAGAAGTCCAAAGTTAATCACATGATCCTGCTCTTTCCCTATAGTCATGCATCTTCCTCTAACTCAAACATTAGGGCATTTTGCTTTGAACAATGTCTCTGTCTTTCTGGTATTGTTGTGATGAGTCTATGCTTTGTTCTATATATATCTTAACCACAGGGAACACAACATACAATTGTAACTGGGTGTTGCTTAGATACTTGAATGATCTCTGCATCCAGACAGCTTGCACTGTCCTGTTTATTGGTTGGATATATCAGCACTGGGTGAATATTGTGAGTGACTAGCGCCACTTAAAGCTGGTCTGTGCCTCTTCCAGTGGAGGTGCGTTGTGGTTGCAGCAGGTACCGGGAGTTGTAATACTACAGAATCTAATCTGGGAAAGCACACAACTGGAAAAAGTGAATTCCAAAAGGTTTTTCGAATCTGCATTGGTGGCCTTGTCAGAGGAGGTAAAAGCAGAGATATCCTGAATCCACAGGACAGCAAGAGGCCTCCAGAAGGATGGTCAATAGGCAATTGAAACTATTAACTGTGAATGTCAAGTCATAAGAACCTGGATGTATTGCTGCAAGACATTTTATGTCCTCCCAAGAGTAGTCACCAACAGTGAATAAATCCTCAAATGCCATATCCTATCAATTGCACTACTATCTTCAGCACTGTTCAAACCACCAGACCCCTACCTATGAATTAGATCTCATTAATATGCTTCACCTCATCCTCACACACTTAGCACTGCTTCAAGCTTCTCACAGGCTGGAATCAGATGTAATGGTACTACGGTTGAGTAAAGGTAACGACAAAGACATGAGGGAGGAGCTGGCCAGGGTTGGTCAGAAGGGGTGGAGCAGCAACGGCGGGTAGTTCAGAGGCACAGCAGAAATTCATACCAACAAAGAAGAAGCATATTAAGACGAAGACGAGGCAACCAGGGCCAAGAAGCAAAGTAAGGAATCGCATAAATGGAAAAGAAAAAGCATACAATATGGTGAAGATCAGTGGAAAGCCAGATAAATCGGAAGCCTTTAAAAACAGTAAACAACAAAAAAGCAATAAAGGGGAAGAAGATGAAATATGAGGGCAAGCCAGCTGCTTATGTAGTAATATAATATTGCAAGAGCATTTTCTTTGTTATATAAAATGGAAGGGAGAGGAAAGAATGGACACTGGCCACTGGAAAGTAAGGTTGGAGAAGTAGTAGTGGGGAGCAAAGAAATGATGGAGGAACTGAAAAGGTTCTTTGCATCTTTCTTTATGGTAGAAGACACCAGTAAGATACAGAACTTCATAGAACATAGAACTGTATAGCACAGGAACAGTTCTTTTGGCCCACGATGTTGTGCCAAACACCAAATTAAACTAATCCCTTCTGTCTGCCATTGGTCCATATCTCTCCATTCCTTGCATATTCATACACTTATCTAAAAGTCTCTTAAATGCCCCTAGCGTGTCCACCTCCACCACTACCCTGGCAGCGCATTCCAGACTCCTACCATTCTCTATGTAAAAAACATGTTGCTCACATCCCCTATGAACTTTCCCCTCTCACCTTAAATACATGCCCCTTAGTTTCAACACTGGGAAAAAGATTTTGACCGTCAACCCTATCTGTACATCTCAATCTTATAGACTTCTATCAAGGCTCCCCTCAGCCTCTGCCGCTCCAGGGAAAACAACTTGAGTTTTTCTAGCCTCTCATCATAGTTCATAGCCTCTAATCCAGGCAGCATCCTGGTAAACCTCTTCTGCACTCTCTCCAAAGCCTCCACATCCTTTCTGTAGTGGGATGACCAGGATTGAATGCAGTACTCTAAGCTGGGGATAGGATTTACGTGCATTTGGAAATAATGGACTAATTAGGGACAGTCAGCATGGTTTTGTGCAGGGCAGGTCATGGCTTACTAACTTGATTGAATTTTTTGAGGAGGTGATAAAGGCGTTTGATGATGGTAGAGTAATGGCTGTTGTCTACAAGGCTTTAGTAAGGCTTTCAACATGGTTCCTCATAGTAGGATCATCCAGAAGATTACGATGCACAAGATCCACGGTGACTTGGCTGTGTGGATTCAGAATTGGCTTGCCAGTAGAAGACAGAGGGTAGTGGGGGAAGGTTGTTATTCAGGCTGGAGGTCTGTGACTAGTGGTGTTCCACAGGGATCCGTTGTGGGACCTCTGCTGTTTGTGATACATATGTATAAATGACTTGGATGAAAATGTAGATGGGTGGGTTAGTATCTTTGTAGACAAGGTACAAAGATCGGTGGAGTTGTGGATAGTGTGGAAGGTTGTCAAAGGATATAGTGGGATATAGATCAGTTGCAGATATGAGCAGAGAAATGGCAGATGGAGTTTAATCTGGGTAAGTGTGAGGAGCTGCACTTTGGGAAATCAAATGTTAAGGAAAAGTGTATAGTTAATTGCAGGACCCTGAATAGCAATGATGTACAGAGGGATGTTGGGGTTCGTCCATAGCTCCCTGAAAGTGGCCATGCAAGTAGATAGGGTGGTAAAGAAGGCATATGGCATGCTTGCCTTTATTGGTTGGGGAACTGAATACAACAGTCAGGATGTCACGTTGCAGCTTTATTAACTTCAAGGGACTCAGGGAGCAAAGGTGAGTATAATAGCCCTCACTAAAACTGTTGAAGACAAATGTAGGTCCCTTGCAGTTATAATCAGGTGAATTTATTATGGACAACAAAGAGATGGCAGAGCAGTTGAACAAATACTTTGGATCTGTCTTCACTAAGGAGGACACAAATAATCTTCAGGAAATGCTAGGGGACAGAGGGTCAAGCATGAAAGGGGAACTGAAGGAAATCCTTACTAGTCAGGAAATGATATTGGGGAAATTGATGGGATTAAAAATCAATGAGTCCCCAGGGTCTGATGTTCTGCATCCCAGAACACTTAAGCAAGTGGCCTTAGAAATAACAGGTGCACTGGTGATAATTTTCCAGCATTCTGTACACTCTGGAGGAGTTCCAATGGACTGGAGGGTAACTAATGTAACTTTGAAAAAGGAGGGAGAAAGAAAATGGGGAATTATAGGCCGATTAGTCTGACATCAGTATTGGGGAAAATGCTGGAATCAATCATTAAGGATGTAATAACGGAGCATTTGGAAAGCGGTGACAGAATTGGTCCTAGCCAGCATGGGTTCATTAAAGGGAAATCATGCTTGACAAATCTTCTGGAATTTTTTGAGGATGTGACCAGTAGAGTGGACAAGGGTGAATCAGTAAATGCTGTGTATCTGAACTTACAAAAGGTTTTTGAAAAGGTTCCACACAAGAGATTAGTAAAGAAAATTAAAGCTCATGGTATCGGAGGTAATGTATTGACATGGATAAAGAACTGATTGTCAGAAAGGAAGCAGAGAGTTGGAATAAACATGTTCTTTTCAGAGTGGCAGGCAATGACAAGTGAGGTGCCGCATGGTTCAGTGCTGGGACCTCAGCTGTTCACAATACACATCAATGATTTGGACGAAGGAATTGAATGCAATATCTCCAAATTTGCAAATGACACTAAGCCAGGTGACAGTGTATGCAGTGTGGAGGATGCTAAGAGGCTGCAGGGTGACTTGGACAGACCGGCTGAGTGGGCGAATACTTGGCAATTGTCATAAAATATGGATAAATGTGAGGTTATTCACTTTGGTTGCAAAAACAGGAAGGCAGATTATTATCTGAATGGTAGCAATTTAGGAAAAGCTGAAGGGCAGTGAGACCTAGGTGTCATGGTGGAACAGTCACAGAAGGTTGGCATGCAGGCGCAGCAGGTGGTGAGGAAAGCTAATGGCATGCTGGCCGTCCTAGTGAGAGGACTTGAGTATCAGAGTAAGGATGTCTTGCTGCAGTTATACAGGGCCTTAGTGAGGCCACACCTTGAACATTATGTGCTGTTTTGGCCTTATAGTCTGAGGTAGACATTCTTGCTATTGAGGGAATCCAGCAAAGATTCACCAGACTGATTCCTGGGATGGTAGAACTGACATAAGAGGAAAGGCTAGGCTTGTACTCACTGGAATTTAGCAGAATGGGGGTGGGGGCTGGTATCTCATAAAAACATATAAAATCCTAATGGGACTGGATAGGCTACATGTGGGAAGAATGTTCCCAATGTTGGGGAAGTCCAGAACTAGGGATCACAGTCTAAGAATAAGGGGTAAGCCATTCAGGACTGAGATGAGGAGGGATTTCTTCACTCAGAGAGTTGTTACCTGTAGAATTGTCTCCTGCAGGAAGCTGTTGGGACCAGTTCATTAGACATAATCAAGAGGGAGCTGGATGTGGCCCTTGTGGCTAAAGGGATCAAGGGATATGGGCAGACGGCAGGAATGGGATACTGAGATTGCACGATCAGCCATGATCATATTGAATGGTGGTACAGGCTCAACGGGCCGAATGGCCTTCTCCTGTACCTACTTTCTATGTTTCTATGTTTCTAAGGAGAAGTTGCTGGGGAGCTGAACGTCTAAAGGTGGATGAATCACCCAGACCAAACGGACAACAACCCGGAGTTCCGAACGAGATAGCTGAGGAGATTGTGGAGGCATCAGTGGCAATGTTTCAGGGATCACTGGAGTCAGGGAGGGTCCCAGAGAACTGGAAAATAGCTAATGTAACGCAGCTGTTTAAGAAGGGAAGGACACAGAAGACAGGAAACTATAGGCTGGTTAGCCTGACCTCGGTCGTTGGTAAGATTATAGAGTGCATTATTAATGATGTGTGCTTGGAAGTGTGCAGTAAAATAGGGCTGAGTCAGCATGGCTTCATCACAGGGAAGTAATGCTTGATGAATCTGTCAGAATTCTTTGTGGAGGTATTGAGCAAGTTAAACAAAGGAGAGCCGGTTGACACGATCTATTTGCATTTTGACTATTTAGTAATCTTGGGATGCGCTTGGTGTCTTCTACTGTGCAGATCAATGCAAAGTATTTATTCACCTTTTCTGCCATTTCCTGGATCCACATTATTATTTCCCCAGCCTCATTCTCTAAAAGACCTGTATTCATTTTGGCTTTTCTCTTCCTTTTTAAATATTTAAAGAATTTCTTGCTCCCTGTCTTGCTATTACTTGGAAGTTTCCCTCAAAGTTTATTTTCTCCTGCATTTTTTTTGGACATCATTGTTGATATTTAAAACTTTCCCAACCTTATGGCTTACTACTCATCTTTGCTACATTGCATGTTTTTTACTTAACATTCTGATGCTATTCTTAACTTCCCTGGTTAACAATAGTTGGCTTCCTGGAGACCTTCTTCATCACTTTGCACTAAGTCATGAACTATTTTCTTAAATATCTGCCATTGATCCTCAACTGCTTTTTGCCACTAAACTCCTTTGTCATTCTACTCCTACCAGCTCTGCCCTCATGCCTTTGTAATTGCCCCTATTTAAGCTTAACACAGTTGTTTCCAACCCAAGTTCTGCCCTCTCAAACTAAATGCTAAACTCTACCATGTTATGGTCACTGCTTCCAAGGGGATCTTTTACTCTGACATCCTTTATTAAGCCTGCTTCATTAAAAATCACCAGATCCAGAAAAGCTTGATACCTAGTTGGATCTGCAGCATATGTTCTAGGAAACTATTTTGAAAACACTCTCTGAATTCTTCCTTATAGTTTCCTCTGTCAATCTGACTTTTGCAATCTACATTAAGTCTAAAGCCACCTATGATGAATGTGCTGCCTTTATTACATGCCCTATGTAATGCTTGATTTTATTCTCTGTCCCTACGTAAAGCTCCTGTTAGGAATCTATAGACTACTCCTGTGAATGTCTTCTTGCCCTTATTATTTCTTACCTCCGTCCATAGTGATTCTGCATCGTCCAATCTAAGATCACGTCTTGCTAACATACTTAATCAATCTCATAACAACAATACTGTTCCCACCACCCTTTCCTTCCTGCCTATCCTTTCAAAAAGATCACATACCCCTGACTATTTAGTTCACAACTTTGATCTCTTTGTAACCAAGTCTCCGTAATGGCTATAAAAGCATACCCATTAGCCTGTATCTATGTGGTTAATTCATGTATTTTGTTCTGCATACTACACGCACTCAAGTAAACAGCCATTAATTTTGCTTTTTTCAAATATTTGTCCTGTGAGCCTATTTACTGCTATTTTTCTATGTCTATATCTTCTGTCCCTTCATGTCCCACTCTGGGTATCGTTATCCAAATTGTTTCCCTGTAAGTCTGTCATATCCACTTGCATTGTAAGCCTACATTTCCCCTTTCCCAAGCCCTCCTCAACCTCTAACTAGTTTAAAATCTTTACAGCCCTAACCAATTTGCCAGGACCCTGAACCCAACATGGTTCAAGTGAAGCCCATCCCACCAGAAGTGCCCACTGTCAACCCAGTACTGGTGCTAGAGCCCCATGAACTGAAACCCATTCCACCCACACCAATCTCTGAGCTACACATTTAACTCCTTGACTTTATTTACCCTATGCCCGTTTGTTTGTGGCTCAGGTAGTAATCCAGAGATTATTACCTTGGAGGTTCTGCTTTTCAATTTAGCTCCTAACTATTCAAACTCTTTCAGCTAAACCTCCTTTCTAGTCCTTCCAGAGCTGTTGGTACCAACATGGACAACTGCTAGTGGTTCCCTCCTCTCCTTCTCCAAGTTCTTCTTCAGCTCTGAGAAGGTATCCTTAACCCTGGAGCCAGGAAGGTACCACTGCCTTTGGGACTCCTACTCATGGCTGCAGAGAACAGTATCTATCCCCTTTATCACACTGTCCCCTCCCACAACTAAATTCCTATTCCTTCCCCCAGTTGAATGGCTCCCTGTACCAAGGTGCCATAGTCACTTTCCCTACAGTCCCCACTCACACCCACACAGCTTGCACGAAGCTTGTAACTGTTGGACAATTGCAGGGGCCAAGAGTCCTCAATTTAAACCCCCTGGGTCCTCAAATCTGCCTCACTACACCGTCCTGTCCCTTATCATGGACTAAGTTTGAATGATTTAGTCTGAGAGGAGTGACCGCCCTCTGGAGCAATATGTCCAGGTATCTCTCCCCTTCTCTATCACAGACTACATCGATGGCTGCTCACAACCTCATAGTTTACTGTCCTTTCCTGGGACTACACTCCCCTAGATTTTAGAAACTGCCCTCCAGCCCCTATTCACTGGCACAATTCCAGCTTGCCACAGACAGCTAGCTTCACCTAGCTGGCACTGCCCTGGGTAAAGAGCACAGTTAGCATTGGGCCTTCAATATTGTTAGGCCATAGATATGGCATATGTCTGCAGCTCAGATTCCAGCCCTACAACTCAGATGCAAAGTTCCTTGAGCTGCAAGCACTTACTGCAGATGTGTTCATTCTGAATTACATGGGAGTCCAGCAGCTTCCACATGTTTTAGCAATGACACATCACCCATCCTGCCATCACTATCACACTTGATTCAGCTTATATAATAATTACTTGAGATTCCTTGGCCTTTGCACTTCACTATCCTGATATATTGTTTTTATAAACTAAAGAGAGCGAGAAATTCACCACTATTAATCCAATACTCAAGTCATTTTCTGAAGAAGGGAAGAAAACACTGAAGTCCTAAACAAATGGAAGACCTGATTTTTGCTTTAATGATTAGAAATCTTCACCAATCCTATTCACCTCTTTCCTTGCACTCGTGTCATGCTGTGGTTTCATATGTCACTCCACTGCTGGACTCACTGCAGGACAACCACTTGATCCTCACCTTTTATCACTCCCACTCACCTCTTGCTCTGGAATGTTTAGTTCTTGCCATAAACCCTAGCTAAAGCACCTCTACCCTCACTTCGCACTGATTTTCCACTTAACTCAAATTTCCAATTGTAGTCAGTCAATAATTCACGTTGTCTCACTCAGCTATGGTTTAACAATACTGAAGTCCCAATGCTAACTGTGCTCCATACCCGGGGCAGTGCCAGTTTGGTGAAGCTAGCTGTCTGTAGCTGGAATCGTGCCAGTGAATAGGGTCTGGACAGCAGTTTCTAGAAAATGGGGGAGTGCAGTCCCAGGAAGGGACAGTAAACTATGAGGTTGTGAGCAGTCATCAAGGTAGTCTGTGATAGAGTGGCTTTGAAGGATGCTCCAAAATAAGGTCTTCAGAAGTGAAGAACTGGAATTCCTCGTAGAGGAGACAAAGTTTCAATGAGTTTTGATGACTCACAGCATCACTAATGGCTGAGGGGTTGCTAAAAGATATCTATGGAATCTCTCTTGACCATTTCTGCTATTTAACGCACTCTGTGGAGCGTTCAATCACAGTTGCTCTAACAGCTCCCTACTCTAATGGTAAGTTACCGGGATGTCATACTTACAGCAGCCAGATGGTGATAAAATTTACTCAGTCTGGTCTGGGATGGTAACCATTTGTAGCAGTGGAATTTATGACATGGGATATTTGTGCTTTTGAAAGCAACATTATCATTCATGGCCTTAGTGTTCTCTATAAATTGAAAAGGTTGGTTTGAGAAAATCCAAACAGTAGCAGTAAGTGGAACTGTCTTCTATTTCAATCAGGCAAATCGTTGCTGACTTACAACTTGTGAACACCATCCGCAATTTTGATCAACTTGTATACATTCCTCACATGATTTTGCATTGGCTTCTAAACACACCCTGGGATCTGTAATAAGAAATGGAAGTTGACTGTAATATGTCTGCAGTAATTAAAGCTGCAAAGCAAATATTTAATTTTGCAAGAAAATATCTTCAACATTAGCAATTTAAACCAGAGTAGATCAATTAAATTCCTGTGAATTGTATATGGCCAGGTACGTCTTAAATTGTACATTGTAATTACCATGGGACTAAAACACCACAGGTCAATGATCCCACTACTTATACTAATGTGATCCATGTCAGTGACCCTGTAAATGTACTGGCTCCGAAAAAAAAACACTCAGTTGCATCTCTGATCGCTCCCAGCGACACGAGCAGAGCAACAAACTGTAAACTAATCTGCCAGGCATTGAAAACAGTGGCGTCGTTGCCTGGATAAGTAAGGTATCAAGATTGACCTTTGGAAAGTTCCTTTCTGTGCCTTCAGCAACCCCTTATGATTTTATTTTAATTTGTAAACTCTTCCCCTTAGGCTTAGACATGGCCCCCTCTGGTGGAGCCCACAGCATGTTGTAATCTCATCACATGACCCAATTTAGGAGATGAGAAATAAGGAGTGAAACTCAAAGAGAAATTTTGAGGAATAAAAACAAGCTTGTTTTCTGATAATTAAACAATTCAATTTCAGTCTTAAAGTGGTTACATGTTCGGGAAAATAGTGTGAAAATATAATTTTGTGCAGCTTTTGAAAGATCTCACCTGGCCTGTATTGGTCAGCATTGATAAATGCTATTCTTTATAAAGTAGACCATTAGTAATTGATACTGCAGCCATTGCAGGCCCAAGGTCTCCCAGCATCTGTGGTGACATCAAGCATGGGGGAGAGTGAGCCAGCATGGGGAAGGGGAGCCCTTTGCAGGAGAGGAGCAAAGCCCTTGTGGAGAGTGAGAGACCAGCATGGCTAAGCACTTAAGATCATAGAATCCCTACAGTGTGGAAACAGGCCCTTTGGTCCCACGAGTCCACACTGACCCTCAGAGCATCCCACCCAGACCTATCCCCCTAATCTACACATCCCTGAACACTATGGGCAATTTAGCATAGCCAATCCACCTAGCCTGCATATCTTTGGACTGTGGGAGGAAACCGGAGCACCCGGAGGAAACCCACGCAGACACAGGGAGAATGTGCAAACTCCACACAGACAGTCGCCCAGAGGGTGGAATCGAACCCAGGTCCCTAGTGCTATGGGGCAGCAGTGCTAACCACTGAGCCACCATGCCATTGAGCCTGTGTATCTTTATTTTTTTCTCTCTTTTGTACCTCAGATTTTGTACCTATGTACCTTTGTACCTAAGAAGACGCCAGGAGTGGTAACATTGTAAACTTTTCACTGTACTCCTGTATCCCTGTTCTTGAGTACAAATGACAATAAAACCTAATTTAATTGTAATTCTAATTCTACTGAATCAAATAAATGCAAAGAACTTGTGCTACTGAAATGCAAGCTCATCACATCTCTGGATCAGATTTCTAACCACCTGAACTATTGTCAAATAGTCAGACTGAGGTTGGTTGGCTCGCTGAGCTGGTTTGTTGTTCCGCAGACGTTTCGTTACCTTGCTTGGTAACATCTTCAGTGCAGCCTCTGATGAAGCGTCGGTGTGTCTTCCCGCCTGGTTTATAAACTCTGGGGTCCGTTGAGATGGATTGTCTCACTTCCAGTTTTCCTTCGTAGTGGAATGTAAATGGGGTCAAGTTCAATGTGTTTATTAATAGCATGCTTCATGGAGTGCCATGCTTCCAGGAATTCTCGTGCTTGTCTCTGCCTAGCCTGTCCCAGGATCTTGGTGTTGTCCCAGTCGAAGTCGTGGTTCTCCTTGTCCATGTGGATTGAGATGAGTGGGTATTGGTCGTGTCTTTTTGTAGCCAGTTGGTGTTCATGTCCTCTTGTTGTTAGTTTCCTTCCTGTTTGTCCCACATAGTGTTTCTCGCAGTCTCTGCAGGGGATTTGATAGATGACATTGGTCCTGTCCATGGCGGGGAGTGGGTCTTTAGTTTGGATGAGATTAGGGTTGACGTGGGCTTGTGTGCCACTCTGAAGCCCAGCGGTCGTAGGAGTCTTCTGGTGAGTTCCGACATGTTCCTGATGTAGGGTAGTGTGATGAGTGTGTAGGGGCGTGTAGAATCTTTCTGATGCTGTTCTTGTAGGCATCTTCTGACCCAGTTCTTTGGATATCCATTATCCTTGAAAGCTTGGAAGAGGTATTCTTATTCCTCTTGGCATAGAAAACCAGGCAGGAAAACACACCAATGCTTCAACGGAGGCTGCACTGAGGATGTTACTCAGCATGACAACGAAACGTCTGCAAAACAACAAACCAGCTCGGCAAGCCAACCAACCTCAACACCCACAACCCGAGCTACAAATCTACACCAAAACCTTAATAGTCAGATTTTTGGGAAATATAGAATAATTTTTTTGATGTGTGGTTGAACATCTCAAAAGTGAAACAGCATTCATATACTACCTTATCAAGTCACGCAAAACACTTCACAGCCACCTTATTACTAAAACAAATTCAAAGAAAGTCTGCTTCAGTTAATTGATACACCTGAGAGGTCGGGATATTGTCCTTGGAGAATAGCAGGTTGAGGGGATCTAATAAAAATCCTAAAGGATTTGGACTGGAACTGGAAAATATTCTTCACATTGGTGGAAAGATTGAGAACACAAGTGCACTGATTTAAGGTAATGACATAAGAAACGTTGGTGACATGAGGGAAAAAAAGAACATTTTTTACAGTGAGAGATTAGGACCTGGAATATACTGCCTGAGATGACGATGGAGACAGGTTCAATTAAGACACCCAAAATGGAAATGGATTGTTATCTGAAAAGAGTGAATATACGGGGTTTGCTGGGAGAAGGCAGGGGAGTCATACTACATAAATTATTCCTGCAGAGAGTTGTCCCAGATGTGGCTGAAAGGCCTCCTTCTGTTCTATGATTCTGTGAAGTCCCTGTAACTACAACGCAACAGTAAATCTTTTTGATTTTATTGTATGAAGGATATTGCTGGTAAGGACACCAAAAAGCCCCCTCTACTCTCAGTTCAAATCGCATCCAGACTGCTATTTAATCTACATCACATCTGAAAGACTACACATCTGACATTGCAATGTTGAAGCTACCAATCTTAAACATGGGCTTGGATTTGGCTTTGGTGTTTTTATTAAGCCGATCTGGAGGCAAGATTTTGACACTGATTAAAGCAGCCATGTGTGTGTTCAATGTGCAGAGAGTAAACCTTATGTGTTTAGAAGGTGTTACCTGAGTGAACTAAACCCAGCCACACACAGCAACAAACCATCATTGTGCAGAGGATAGTTTTCAAATCCATCTGTAAAGAAAGAAACACTAATGAGGGATTCTGACAGTTTGGTGCAATATTATCCTTGTATCATTAAAGCACAGAAGGCTTTCGTTTTCACAAGTAAGTAATTTACTTGAATATTCAAAAAATTGGTCGATTGTATTAGTTCTACAGCATGATATGAATAAAAATGTCAACTATTTTTATAAGAGACAACAAGGTGCAGGGCTGGATGAACACAGCAGGCCAAGCAGCATCATAGGAGCAGAGAGGCTGACGTTTCGGGCCGAGACCCTTCATCAGAAAAGGGGGAGGGGAAGGGGGTTTTGAAATAAATAGGGAGAGAGTGGGAGGCGGATAGAAGAGGGATAGAAGAGAGGATAGGTGGAGAGGAAACAAACAGGTCGAAGAGGCGGGGATGGAGCCAGGAAAGGTGAGTGTAGGTAGGGAGTTAGGAAGGGGATAGGTCAGTCCAGGGAGGACGGACAGGTCAAGGGGGC